GACATTTTTCAGTTGCGCTCCCTGGAGCTTCCCGGCCCCGTGATCGCGGCGCTGTGGAGGGCCTCGAGGCTCCGTGTGGCCGCCGCCCCCTAGCTGCATCAGGGTGGCCCCGCCGGCATTCCTCGCCCAGAACTGCCGTGAGATGTGGGGGTGGAAGGGGAGCTCGAAGACGTGGGTATCTCTGTGGAGGTCGACAATGGTACCGACTACGGCTGGGATAGCGTGGGCGGCGACAAAGACCCGCAGGATCATGCGCAGACCAGTCACATGGTCACACAAAAGCCCACCAGACCCGCGGCCGAGGGGAAGCTCCTCGTTCTGATCTTGAAGGAGATGGTCGGGGACGACAGGGGAAGATGGACTTTCCAGTTGGCCCGTTCGCAAGCAAAACTATTCGCTTCTAAACGGTCCAGATTATAGTAAAGGTCAGACATCTGCTGTCCAATCGCGTCTCCATCGCCGATCCTGCAGGTAGATGCCTGGTGCGTCGGACCGACAATGACTGAGGCGATGACGTGCTACGCCGCGTTGATCTCGGCCCACAGCACGGTCGATTCGCGCGGGCGAAATGGAGTCTTGCCACCTCACACACGAGACAATGAATGACTCCCTCGAGGCGCTTCGTCGCGGAGGAGACCACGAGAAAGGCAGATCGGATCGCAGCGCCGTGCAATGGGGGCCCCTCCTCGGCTGCCGCGGCGCGGGAGGCTTGGGTGCTGGCAGATATCGGGGATTGGTGGAGCTTCCCCCCCCAGCGCCGCGGGCCGGCCCCAGAACGGCAACTCTGGTTGCGATGGGAGAACGTGCGCAGACATGACCTGGTGAGGGCCCATCGAAGGCTCTTCTGGGGATGCGCCCGTCGCGCGCGAGTGGGTGGAGACATCGTTGCGCGCGCGGTCCCGCCCCGGGGCAGCGCTTCTCGGATCCGTCGCTCCGCGAGGGGGACTCGTTGATCAGTTGGGTCCGCGACGCCTTCCAATCGGATGAAATGCCCTTGTGCGGGCGCCCGAGGAAGGGTTGCTTTGGCCCCTTGCGACGCGCGCTTGCGTGGTGGGCGAGGTGGCTGATCATCCCGCGCGACGCACGCTTGCGCCGTGGGCGCGGTGTGCGCTCCCCTTGATGCCGCCTGGCCGCAGCGCGTCGCGGGCGACCGGTCACTTTGCGGGGGGGCGACCCATTCCGCCGTGAACGTGGGCAGTTTCTCGGCCAGGTTCGCCGCCGACGGCGCGCCGTTGGACTTTCTCGCGCGTTCTGGGAGCTGGCCGTTGCGGAGGTGGAGGGCGCCCGGGATATGACCCCCTCCTTTCCCACCGCTGATCATCCCGAGCTGGGCGGATACCTTCGGACATGCAACGGCGCTTTCTTCAGCGGGTTGAATGGTGGGGATCTGAGGGCCCAGCTAGATCGGTTTCTCCATGTGGGTCCAAAAGCCAACGTGCATCTGCGATTGGTTGCGTGGGGGATTGCGCAGGATGGTTTCGACATCAAAAAGGCGAACGGCACTGGGGGCTGGGCGCTGGGCGAGAAACATAGCTTCCTGCGTGCGCTCTATTCCTGTGATTGGGCCCAGGCGGGCGAGCACCCCATCCGCCAATTCTGCGGAGTGCAGCGAGCTCTCGCGGACGCGGTGGCCCACTTCATCGGCGCGAGAGACAAACCTATCCCCGCCGAGGGCCGGTGGGCGGCCCGCGTCGGTGAGGATCTCGCCGCAGACGCAGGCTTTGGCTTCGTTTCTTCGACGTTGAGGTGCGCGCAGACCAGGGATGGGTGGCCTGCGCGACTGCGCGCCGCGGTGCTCTCATGGCACGTGCGCGCGCTGCCGATCGGCACCGGGAATGCGCCGTTCCGCTAGCGAGGGGCGCCCCGGGGCCGCTCCACCGACGCGCGAGCTCGTCTGCCCACCCCTTGAGGAAGCGTTCGGCCGTGAGGGCCGCGCCCCTGCTGGCAATCGGTCAGGATTGGATTGGATGCAAGTCAGTAGTGGGCGCAGGGAGGAAAATCCAGCGGGCAAGGGGTCAAGAGGTTGCGCGTGCCGAGGGCGCGCGGCAGCGAGGCCGCCCGCCAGTCGATCACTGTGGCGAACAGATGCGACAGAGGCCCCGACGCGCAGAGCCGTCCACGTGGGAACCAGGGACAGATGGCGAGAACACCTAGTCGAAGCTTGTTGCGTTCATTAGGTGCCTCTAACAGAGCCCCAGTGTGGAGCGGGGCGCTTGGGAATCTACGCGGGGCCGCTAGGCAGACGCCCACCATCGATCGGACAGATTTGCTACGGCGGTGAAGGGCCCTTGGTCGTGCAGCGAAGGGCTGGCATCCATGCCCGTCATCTGCGCGCAGCGTGCTGGGAGTTTATCGCCTATTCCGCGATTCGGGCGGCCCTCCGCTGATGGCGGGGGAGCCATGACCGGGGTCGTGCCACTCATCGCGCCGGCCGGTTCAAGGCCGAGCGCGACCGTCGTTTGTGGCCCCGCAGGGTCCAGCGCAGCAAGGCGCGGAGCTTGCGTTGTTTACGATGGCCCTCCCTGTCTTGAAAGCCTCGGAGGTAACCGAGCACTATCGATGGCTCATGCGTCCGTGCGTGCTCTGTGGCTCAGACCGTGAAAGGCCGTGCGACGCATTCCTGGGGGGCTGCCAACCTCGCGCCGCCCATCTTTCCAGGGAGATACCTATCTGGTAAGCTGTGGATCGCATCCCATGTGAGCAGTGGCTGCCATGGCAGAGGGCGCCAAGACGTGGGGCCTGCATTGGTGGTAGAGGCACGTGCTTTGCGTGCAGGAGTCTTCGATGGGCCTGTCCCCCGATTTGCGCCAATTCCCCTGGTGGCGTCGCGCAGCGTGTTATCGCTGAGGAGGCGGCGCGCATCAGGTGAAATCAGCTTTCCCACGCAGCTGTTTGCAAGCTTTTGGCGAGGCCATGTGTGGACTGGCCTGGCCACGACGGCAGGATGCAATGGCTGCCTGGCCATCGGGAGGATGCCCAGTGAAGTGTGGGTTCCTGGACAACGCGTACCGTTGTGGGTCGTGTGCAGCACGAAGGAGGGCGAATGATATTTGTGCCGTGGCCTATTTCCGTTTCGCCCATATCCCCCCCCGCCCATGTCCCTGCTGGTCAGTGCTTCCCAGAGGAGGGGGGGCGAGGCTGACGGGACGTTCGAGGGCGGCATCGTGCTGCGAACGGCGGCGCGAGCTTGTCCGAGATCATGCCTTGCCCCCACCCATGCTTTGAAACATCAGCGATTTAAGGATTGCTCATGCTGCTGGTCTCTTACGCTCCATTCGTCTGCGCGCGGTAATCTCTTCGCGTCACCTTGTGTAGTCTTTTTTATGTGCTCTGGGCTTGGCGTTGGCCCCGTCGCCTCGCTGCCTGCGCCCCGGCAGGGGTTTGGGTCGGCTTGGCCGCGGCCCGCTTCTTAAGTGTCGTGTGCGCCTGTGGTTTCGGGGGGCAGCCTTCATGGTGCTTGGCCGTGTTTTTGGTTTTACTGCTCCACCCGGTTGCGCGAGGCAATTTCCGCGTGCCACCTTGTGTGGCGGCGTTTTTTTCCGTCTGCCTTCTGGGCGTGGCGTTGGCCTTGGGCCTTGCCGCCTCGCTGTCTGCGCCCCGACATGGGTTGTGGGCTGACGTGGCCGCGGCCCGCTTTTGGCTGTTGCGTGCTTTCCAGGTCTCGCCCTGAGGTTGCTCGCTACTGCTTGCTATACTTGCTTGCCGTCTTCGGCGGGGGGACTTTTCGGCCGCCTGGCTGGATGGCCGCTGGGGTGTCTCATGATACTCGGTCGGGTGCTGCCTTTCCTGCGCCGTGCATGTGTTGCTTGAGGCACTGGTTCTCTTGTGCCCCTCTCGGGTGCGCGTGGCAAGTCCCACGCGGCGCCTTTCGTGGTGGGCGCCATTTTCTTTTTGTCAGTTGGGCAGGTGGCGTTGCCGCCGTGCTGCTTGCGCCCTGGAATGGGTCATCGGCCGTCATGGCCGCGTTTTTTTGTGTGGTGGGTTTTAAACAAAACAACACCCTCTTCTTATATCTATATATCGTTATTTATCTCTATATGTGTACATAGGTATCCATGTGTGTATATAACTATATATGTGTGTATGCACACACATATTCCTCCGCGTCCTGGTGTCGCACCTGGGCGCGCGCGTCCGCAGCTGGGGCCGCGTTGCGCGCCCATCGTGCTGGCGGT